ATCATGCCTAGATACCGTTTTGGAAAAACTAACCACGTACACATGTGGAATGCAACAACCAATCAGGTAAGCATTCTAGAAACCACTTGAAGTGTTGTATTAAAAGGCTGCTTACAAGGCTGATTATAGAATCACAACGTACGAAGGGACTACAAGGGTCATCTAGTCCAACTGCCTATCAAACAGAAATAGACAGCTAAAACACTCCTGAAAGATGTCCTTGCAACTTTTGTTTAAATACCTCCAAAGAAGGAATGTCCACCATTCTTCATGACAAACTATTCCAAACAGCTTTTAGAGTCAAAAAGAGGTCCTGATGTTTAAATATAATATCTATACCTGTCATTGTGAATCCATTGGCTCTAGCTTTCCAGAATCATTATCATTCTTTTATCTCATTCATATTATTTTAATTCACCACCTTTTCTTTTCTTTTAGGGTAGAAGTCGTCTTCTAGAGGTTATTAGCCTGAAATTTCCATAAACCTTCACCATTGGCTCCACAGTTTAGATTAAGGATAGATGCAATTCAACAAGATCTGGACATCTAAAATTTACAGATCTCTCTTCAGGATTTGTTTCAACAATATTTATTGATTTATTTAGCACCATGCTGAACTGCTCTTCTTTTTTGTGGTGGAGGGATCTAATTCCATTATGTCCAAGTAATTTCTGCCTCTGGTTAAATGTTCTATTAAAGAAGAAATTCCAAAGAACACACCTACTTCATTAACTGAGGATACTTACACTGACCTTAACTAGCATATCTCATTTTTATCTAAGAAGTCAAATACCATTGTTATATTCTCAGTTTTCCACCATTAATTATTTTGCACCGTAATATATATCAAAGCAAGTTCCCTTATATGAAGTGCCTTTTAACACACCTACTCTATGAACCACCTCAGAGATTAAGATCATCTGGGGAGGCCCTGCTCTTCTTCCAGCCTCCATCACATGTGTGGTTGGCAGGGACAGGGCCTTCTCAGTGGTGGCCCTGTGTCTATGGAACTCCCTCCTCAGCAATATTAGATCAGCTCCCTCCCTCTTAGCCTTCAGAGGGAAAGTAAAAAACTTGGCTCCGGAATCAAGCTTTCAGAGAATAGTGCAGTGCAATAACAGATTTGGAATATGTTCAATGACTACAGAATGTTTTTGGACTACGATTATGAATGGCATGATTTATATTTAATACAGCGTTTGAAAATGTTTTAAATGCTTAATATGTATTAACTGTAATTTAATTGGAATTTGAATGTTACTGGAATTGTATGTGTTTTGTATAGTGTATGTGGAATTGTATGGGTAGAGAAAGGTGGGGTATAAATAGGGTAAATAAATAAATAATAAATTTCACATCTCATGTTACTGAACTTCTACAATGGTAAATTCACATTGCAGTTTTAGAGTCCCTTTATCCTAAGTCAAACCAAATTGACCCAAACATTCTACAGGATATGATGGTTAGTGAATTTATTATGTTTCAAATCCAGAAGTCTAATGAAGATAGGTTGAAGGTAAATAAATACAATAATCAAAGGAGTGTTTTGCTACCAAAAGCATTGTGCTGGGATATGAAAAGTTAAGGAAAGTACCATTCACTGTATATTTTTAAGAGTTTCAGTTCAGCATGAATGCCTAAGAAGATATCATAAATGAACTGCAAATCTCAGATGAATGTTAAATTAAAAGGAGAATTACTAGTGTACTTAAACCACATATCCTTGTCTTGAGCATGGATGCCAGGAGACACACAAAAAAACCCAATCAGCTTGTCATTTTGAAATGCTTGCCCCCTTTGTTCTGCAAGGAAGAGGTAGTTGAAAAACAGGAAAGTTCACTTATTGGGCAAGTCTTGGCTTATTTTCCTGTTAAGCTGGAAAGCCACAATTGAAGAATTCTGTGAAAGAGGCTTTTTGTTCTTCTTTTCCTCTTTCCAGTCCATATTAAGACACACAGAAAAATCTCACAGAATTAAATCAGGTGGACTTTTACCTCTAAGGGGGGAAAAAACCTTTCAGCCCAGCATTGCAAAATTTCAGGTGTCACTAGGGCATTCAAAAACAATACTGACACATAGTTTGGCAGAACAAAAGAGCTTTGGGTTAAATACTCATTCCACCTCCACTGCTGCCATTCACTGTGGCGTTCCTCTAATTTCTTCTCTGATTTAAGCAAATCTATGTTTTGTTATTGCATCTAAATGGTGAAAACATATTTTTCTTTTGCCCATCATGACAAGTCTGAAAACAAATTTTTGATGACAGAAAGGGGTCAAGAAAGGAACACTATACAGTGCAAGGTCCCCCAAGTGCTCATTCATGTAACTTAGGGTAAAAAATGTGTGGTCCTTCAGCTGTGGCTGGACTGCACCTTCCAGTAGCCAGCACAACCAATTGTGAAGCATGCTGGGAGTTATGGTTGAACAACCCCAGCCCTAATTTAGATAGAAGGCCCCTGATGTGGCCCCGAACCATGGTTTTATAAACCTACTCTCCTCTACCCGTTTCATGTTTTGCAAAAATAACATCTGAAAGAATCAGTCATGTTGGTCGACATCTTGTAATATACACCAGCTGCTAACACTGTATGTGGTGAAATCATAGCCACAAATGTGGAGAAAAAAATCTCTGTATGATTCAAAGAACATGTACAACTTCTACACTTTCCTTTTTTAGCACAATATCTACACAGCTGTTAGTCATTTGTTTCATGGGATCCAGACATCTTTATTCAAGGTAGCATTGATATTCCAGGGAACTGCTTTTTCCCAGCACTCCTAACATTTAGAAAATGTTGCTGTGCTTGAGCATATCTATGTCCATCCTGCCGGGTGTAAGAGATCTAACTGTGTAAAATTCACGGGCATCTCTTGGCTAGAGTTTATGATACCAATAGTAGTCTAGATGTCATTGTTACAGCCACGGCTGGTGGGGACGACGGAGAGGGCCTTCTTGGTGATGGCCCCCCAACTTTGGAACACTCTTCCCAGGGAGAGTAAGCAAGCCCCTTCACTATCCTCTTTCCATAAGGATCTGAAAAATTGGATGTTCCAACAAGCATTTGAGAATGAGTCCTTACTAATAAATGCCCAGCCCCTAGCTCGCCAAATAGTACTCTGTTCTCTGCACTTCTTTCAATCCCCCAGCCCTATACTACGCTGTTTAGCACTATCCCAGGTCCGGTACTATTTGTACCCTGATCATGCCCATCTTAGTATTCTGGTTATTGCTTTTTGTTGTATATTATTTGAGTGAGTTTTAACACTAATTTTTTACTACCCTTGTGTTTTATTCAATTGTGGTTTATTTTATTGTTATGCTTTGCTATGTTTTATTTTAATTGTGGTTTTTTGTTTTAATGGATTGTTTTGTTTCGATGTTCTGTGGACATTTTGTCCCATGTGTTAGCCGTCCTGAGTTCCTTCGGGGAGATGGAGACGGGGTATAAAAATAAAGTTATTATTATTATAGTCTTGGGCCAAATCCAATGTTGTGTGAACAGAGTCCACTTGGGCTTCATCACTTCCTTCTGTGCCTAATGCCATATTTTCTCTGGATAACACCCCAATTCACAGCAGCAGTTTGCAATGAGGGAGAGACAGACCCTTTTTCCTGTACTGTGTTTTACTAGCTTTAGTAGATTTTTGACCAGTAAGAGCAAGATAAAGACATTGTTGCTTTTCTTAATATCAGCACCCTAAGAACTATTACAGAGTGGACAGACTAAACTATAATAGAGCAAGCCAACATTTATTCATTACTACGACAGTACTGTTTGAAATATATCTATGACACAGACGGCCTGGAAAAGGCTAAAGTATCTCTGTTATTTGGGAATACAAAAATCAAGTCAGCTCTTCCAAACACTGAAAAGCCTTATTAACATCTTTCACATTTCTTTACCATTTGAAAAAAAATCATTCTACTGAGATTACACTAGCAAATATTAAAGGCACAGAAACCAGTGCTTTATCACATTATATTTGCCTATGACACTATCACCATGTACAAAATCTATTCATTTCATAACATAATAATTTTGCCACATGTGTATCACAAGTTATTTATTCAATTGCTTATAGACTGTCTAATGTATTTTCTAATGCTAGAGACAATCTCATGCCATCCCTTTTTGCAACTGAACATTTTCCCCGCCCAAGATGTACATTGTAAGCAGTTGTTTTTGAAGTTCTACTGTAATAACTTTTTCATAATTTTGTTCATCTTTCCTTGTGTGTTCCTGATATATTTTAAATGAAAGGCTGTTCCCAAGACAACTGATACTAAATGACTATGAACTTGTAACACTTAATAAGAAGCTTTAGAAGGCACTAGTGGGGAAAGTGTCCACTCCTAGGTCTTGTTATAAGAAACAGTACATATATTTATTTGTTCAGTAATGAATTATTAATAATGTGGTGTGGAAACAGTTTTCTTTCTACTCTGAATCCATCAAAATTTCGAGAGTGTAACAGTAAGGGAATGCTGGAAGGTGTGGTAATTATCAAAGGGATGAAGTTTAGATCACTGAGAGGTGAGACAGTCAAGTTCAGAGAAAGGGGAGCTTCCAATATACCAGATAATGTAAGATGTTCTGGACTATATCGAAGAAATTAACACTATACATCGGTGCAAATGCAGTAGGAAGAGATTAACATGTATTGCAGTGTCTGTGATGTCTTGTACAGAAAATCAAAAGCATAAAGAAAGCTTTATAGGACTTTATTAGGAATGGGCTGCAATTCCTAAATATCACAGAAACACCAGGACTTAATTCTGAATAAACAAGCATAAGTTTCCAAAGATCAGTTCAAAGAATTTTAGAATCTACAAAGAATAATCTATAATTGGCCGTTTCTTATTGTGCTATAAGTAACAGAAACCATTTTGATCAGCATTGGTAGAAATCTCTTACATTCAATGCTACAATAAACTGCACTCTATAGATGTATTCAGCATAAACATACAATTATCTGATATTTACTATTATGGTACTTACTCTTCCGTATCTGTTAGCATAGGATCCTGTAAGCAGTGAGTGGAAAACGATGATTGTCTCATCCAAATCCCAAATGAAAACCCTCTGTAAAAGAATAATAAAATCAATCCAATCACTCCATGAAAGTGATAACTTGGTTACTAGATATATGGGTGATGACACAGGTTTGAACACTGGACTATACTAAAACAATATTTCCTTACAATTTTGGAAGAAGTCATGCATTCTATGTACCGTATATTCCGGCATATAAGATGGCTGGGCGTATAAGACGACCCCCAACTTTTCCAGTTAAAATATAGAGTTAAGATGACTCCCATGCATAAGACTACACCTGCATATAAGACGACCCCTGACTTTTGAGAAGATTTTCTTGGGTTAAAAAGTAGTCTTATACGCCAGAATATACTGTACATGCAGAACAATTAATACAGCATCACAAAATGAAGAGCACATTACTATTAGGGCTTACTTGTAAGTAAATCCCATTGAGCTCAATGAAATTTACTCAGAGACACATATAGGAGTGTAGACTAGACATATTATTTCTCTGATGTTACTTCTATTACAGGGGTACTCATATATATTATACAGTGGCAAGTAGGAACCTATAGAAAGTTTTAAAAAGGAAAAGGACAGGATACAAAAAAGTACATTTTCTTTCTCAACTGTGAATTTCCATTTAGCAGAGCAGAGACACTGAATCACACCATGTCCCACTCTTAAGGAAAGGTCCTAGTATTTTTTTTTTTGGGGGGGGGGTTCATTTTCATGGAAGGAACAATAAACAATGAATAATAGGACCTTAAATAAACAGTTAGGATATAGTGCCAGCTAATGAATTGATTGAGAGACAGCAAGTTCTACTCATTACCCCTTAACCAAGATATTATCTTCCCACATAACATCCCACAGGGATATTTCCTGGTGGCATGTATATATGTTATTCTCCTCTTCACAACATGGCAGTGGAGGTGGATGTAAGCTTGATCCTCTGGTATTTTTGGGGAAACAACATGCATTCTTTGCTTTTAGCAGATCTCTTCCACCCTCCCACACTACTTCCACATTCTTCATTTTGTGGGTAAGTACAGATACCTAATAACTACCCAGTTGTTAATAAACACTTTCATCTTGCCAGAGCTTGATAGCAATTATGATTGGATATATTTGCCCATCTTAGTGTATAAGAGAATGATCTAACCTAATTGTCAGTGAAAAAGAGAACTCAATGATGTTGAGTAAGAGCTTTTATTTGTATGGAGCTTTCTCTAAGCAAAAGGTTTAGAGAAATTCCCTTCTCAGAGAAGAGGAACCATTGCCACATAGATATCCTGGGAAAGAAGCCAGAGATGTCAGTTAATAAAGGGAGAAGCCAGTTGGAGTTGAAGAATTTCATAGAATAAATTCCTCGTGACAAAGGCCAAAGTTTGAGTAAACAGGAGTACACCTGGATTTTATGATTTTACTTTAGCTCCCCCCCCCTCTTTTTTTTCTTTCTTTGGCTTTCTTGAGTTAATATCTACTTCTATCATTGTGAAACTTTGTAAACTGAAGTTTTCTTTAATGTTTCTGGAGTGGGTGAGAAAATAAATAAACAAAATGGCTGTTTCATATACATACCTCTAGGTCAGAGTCAGGTGGTGGTGAAGGATTATTATTCCTTCTGCCTCGGCCACGTGATTTGCCATCTGAGCTGCGACGCAACCTCTCTGCCTCTGAATCTTTAATAGGTGTGGTTGGACTGTGAATTGTGCTGTATTCTGCTGCAAAAGAGAGATTTGTTGCTGTTTTATTTTAATTTTGTTACGGTTATGCTACAGTTGATGAGGTAGATTGTTGCTGGCTATGACTTTTTAAAAAGATAATTTGGCACCAGAGGCAGAAATAACGTGGAGTGTATAAGGATAGATTCCTACTCCACAAAAAGCAAGAACAAGTCAACTCTTTCAGCATACCTGCTATCCACAACTAACAATACACACTTGTGAAATAAAACAACCAGATCAGCAAAAACATTTTTAAACTCCTAGAAGGCTTCTTCTATTTTAGTGGCAAAGACTATAAATCTCCCTTTTTGAACATGCCAGTTGGGGTGGATAGTTGATGACCCCCCCCCCCCCCCCCCCCCCCTCGGCTATGGAACTCCCTTCCTAGCAATATTAGATCAGCCCCCTCCCTCCTGTCCTTCAGAAGGATGGTGAATACCCGGCTGTGGGACCAAGCCTTTGTGGCAATGCAATGAGGCAATAGAATGGTGTCCTGAGATGGTATTTTAAGCAACTGATTTTAAAGTGGATATAAATGATTTTAATGTTTGTGTATATTTATGGTTTTATGTCCCGGCACTGAATATTTGCCGTATATGTCTTATGCTCGACCCTGAGACCCCTGTAGGGTGAGAAGGGTGGAATATAAATGTTTCAAATATATAAATAATCTTATTTCACCTTTTCTCTCTGTTTTAGAATTCACACATGCTGGAGGAAGCTGCTCTTTACTTTGCCTGATGTGGCCAGTTACACATAGCAACAGTAGGATCAGGCAAAGTAGAAATCAACTCTTCACTAATCGAAGTTTTTATTGCATTGCTTACTGCATATACACTGCTGCAATCTGATGCCAAAAGCAAGTGCTTCTTCAGCCCTTCTTCACCATCCCCCCAGTGTCAGTGCTGCTTTAAAAAAGCATGTGCAGCTAGATAGATAACAAAGGAAATGGAGGGATGGGATATGAAAAGGAGTTTTTCGTCAGAGGCTTTGTGAAATGAGGCATGCCTGTATTTCAAATATGGTGCATTGGAATGAGAAAAACAGGTTGTTTACCTGAAACTATTATTTAAGCATTCCATCCTGTGTGTCATATCAGTGTGTTTCCTGCTTAAACCTTCAATTTTATGGATGCTAAAGCAGCAAAAGATCTAAGGACAGGCAGGGGAGAGGAGGATGGGCAGGATTTTGAGTTCACAGACAATCACTCAAATAAACACAGATACAGGTAAGCAACCTGTTTTTCTTTTTCATAGGCTCTGTGACTCATGCAAATGGGAGAGTAGCAAGCTACTAACCATGGGAAGAGAGGGTGTCGTGCCATATAGGAGTAAAGCAACACTATCTCAAGTGCAGTTTTTGCCTGATATCTAGTGGCCAGTTCTGTTGAACACTTGGACAATATAGCAGACCTATAGATGTCACACAGAAGTTGCCACCTCTGAGATCTAGGATGGAACACAATCTGCCATCCTTTCTGGACATGATGAAGTAATGGGAGAAAAGTGCCTGTTGCAGGTGAAAGTGGAGGAGGCTCCATGGCTCCTTTGAGAAACAAGTTGTTCACCACTTCTCTGATCAAAATATCACATTCATATTGTAAAGTGGGGTCCTGTTTACTTATTGTATGGTTGCCTCCTGCAGAATTTTGGTAAATGTAGTTTAGGGCAAGGCCTTTGGAATTCTCAGCCAGAGAGGTCCTCAGCTTCCCTAAACTGCATTTCCCAGAATTCTGCAGGTGGCAACCACACAATATGAAAATGGGAGTCCCCACTTAGAACACTAATGTGATAAGATCCTGAGTGTGGATGAAGGAGTAATTGTAGGTGGATTTTTCCATAATTCTATAAAATATCCTCTTCTGATGATAAGTGATATGTGATCCTCTTCTGATCACAAATCTGAGATGATGGAGACCCAGATGTGATGGAACTTGATGAGCCTGTCATCAAAGGATGGAACCATGGCATAGACGGTATTGATAATGATGGAGTGAATGTTGAGAACAGGGTCATGTTCAAATAAATAAATCAAAGATATCATCGACCGGCATCTTGATTAAGTTTCTTAAATGAACTAGATTTACATTTAATGGCAGAAGAAGCCTTGTAAAAAGAAGTGGGCTGCTGAGAGGTCTGCTTCTGCTGACAGCCAAAAGGTGGGATTGAATCTCATCTAGAACTAGTTGAGTGCTCACAGGGGTGGCTCAACCCATTACGCAAAGTAAGCATTTGCAGTATGGTTGATTTTGCCCAGGGGTGCTCTTGAGGCGCTCTTGGGGGAAAATAGACCTTGACATATGCGAGTTGTAGTTACTGGGATGTATAGTTCCCCTACAATCAAAGAGCATTCTGAACTCCACCAATGATGGAATTGAACCAAATATGGCACACAGAACTCCCACGACGAACAGAAAATACATATCAGTGATTTGTGGGGGGGGGGGGTGGCAAAATACTGTTTGCTTACCGTTGAAAATTACCTAGGGCCGCCTCTGAGTGCTCATGAAAATATGATATAGACAGCTGTGATTGAGGTTGGAATCAAAACATTATTGCAGTCAATCTTACAGAAGGGTGTTCGTTTTGGAGAGCATGAAGCCTGCCAAAACCTGCTCACATTTTCCTTGATTGTGGATCTAAGTGCTGAATCTTATTCAGCAATCTAATGCTAGCATTACTCAATAGAACATATATCTTTTTGTCATTAACTCATTAGATGTTGGACTGAAATTCTCATCCCTGGATATGCTCAAAGTTTGCAATATTCCCGATCCTCTTTTAAAGCATCAGAAGGAGAGTATTTGCAGGAAGATAAGCACAAAGACCTAAGTTGAACTAAGCATTACAATGCAACCATATACAGATCTCTCCAGATCCACGTGCCATGATATCCTACTTGGCTTATTCTCTGGTAAATAAGCAAGTGAATGCAATATTAGTCTTGCAATTAATATGTAAAATAAAGCTTAAGCTAGGAGCGCAGGCACTATAAATGCTGTTGTACATCTTGTAATTTGCATTCTTACTTTTAGTCCTGCCATTTATAGATCATTTTAAGTGGCAATTATAAGGAAAGACTTTTTTTTTAAAAAAAAAAGCCTCATGGCTCTTCATCCCTTCTCCCACCCCATCAACCCCCCTCTCTCAATACTGTGTAAATAGTACCATAAATTCAGAATTCCTTTACAAATACCTTTCAAGTACAAAAAACATGTCCTATAGGAACAATAAAATTAGTCATTACCTGCTGTAGGATCTGTAACTGCTTGACTTGTGATGCCAGATGGTGGTTCTTGTAGCTGGTATGTTGCATTGGAGGAAGGTGTTGTTGGGCTGGTGTTGCTGCTTGTCATATAATGTGATGGATATGGTGAACTGTTATAATACTGTGCATATTGACCTTGGCCAAAACTGGGGTAAGATGGATATTCCTGTCAGAATATGAAAAAAATCTCTTTTTTAACTTTCCATCAACATGCCACTAGATTTTTTAAAAAAGCATGTGTCTCTAAATATTTGCAGAAAACATCTCTACAATCAAGGACTAGAAGGGCTGCTGTGGAGTTAGAAATTAATCTGATAAAAACTGATCACAACAGCATATATCAAAAACATTATGTGATTTTAAATTGTTATTTTTTCTTTTATCTAGCTCTTGACAAAGCATGAGCTATAAATATTTCAGTATTAAATTAACAAATAATAAAATGTGAATTGCACAAGCAAATCTCTAAGTCATAACTAAGATTCTAAGTAATCTTATATTCTGTCATGTATTTTTCAATACTAGATTTTATACTTTGTCATTTAATTGTTATATATTTATGCATTTACCTGTTGTGAACTATTAAATCCGGTTGAATTTGTAAGTGAATTATTTCCAGCATATATTCCAGATGATGTTGTAAAACTGCTTCCTAAAACAAATAAAGAAAATGTGTATATGAACGGCTAGTATAATGTCTTTGAAAATGCCATCACAATGCATCAATGGTAACATAATAGTTTTTCAAAAATATTTTCCATATGTTGATGCAGTAATTAATCTACTTTTGTCATCACTACTGGAAAAAAATACACTGTGAAGTGATAAATTATTGTTTTTGGAGCACTAGATTATCATATATGAAGCTTAAAAAGTTACCCAAATGGATTGCATTAAAAGCAGAATGCAAATTCAGAATCACTTGGCTTCCTTTTATTATTTTAGGCATCATAGGAATCAAGCTACTTGATTAGCTGAGTTATAAGTATGTTGCATTGTTCCATTCCAAACAGCAGGTAGGATATTCACATAATAAAGAATAAATGTTTGAATTATTTCAAAGACATTTTGTAAAAAAAGAGAAGACTGGCTTGAAGATTTTCTATGTGCAGATAAAGTTTATGTTACTGAATATGTGCTCTCCCCATTACGTACTTTAGAAATCCAAATCAATTACTAAAGCAGTACCATTTCTAACTGCATTGTTTGGATGTAGAACACTTCTCAAATCAATGTAGAAGTAGAATGTGATCCAACTAATACTTCTTTGCACATTTTGAGTAAAATAGGCTCATGAATAAATGTAATTACAGCAGAGTAGATACTGATTTAATCCTATACACTCTACAGCAGGTAAAATTACTCAAATCCTATTAATTCCTTTATTCTTTTTCTTTGCTTTCTTATTTTCAAATCCTATTAGTTTCAATGGGTCTACTCTAACTTTTTCCTCTTAACCCTGGGAGGAACCAAAAACCTCCAATCAGTAAGACTTACATTTTAAAGTTGTGAAAATGTAACATTTTAGAATTATTGCTACAATTTTCCCATGTTTTAGAAATTAAAATGTTTCCCCAAAGCTCTATGACACTTCTGTCCTTCTCCAACAATAACACATATAATTAAAGCTCATTAAACCACTCTTGAATGTACAGCCTTGGGCAGCACTTCCCTCTTCCCTTGAGAAGTTATTGTTACTCTGACACCGAGAGCATTATTACATGACATTTCAAGTAGAAAGGCCATTGCCCTAAATGCGCCTGGACACAGCAATCCTCTCTCAACTTTAGCTACCCAAAATAGACAGATGGACCATCTGATTTTAATGCCTTTATCAACAAAGCTGTACTTTTAAAAGGGCAGTAACCTCCTTCTAGGCCCCAAAGCAAATTTGAACATATGGACATTTAAGAGCCAAAGTGTGTGGAGAAGGGGTGAGGGAGAAGGGACCTTCAGAAATCCAACCAGTTGCCAGGATGATAAAGATGTCATGAATTGGCAAAAATGTCCTTAATTTGCCTTCATAATTTCCCATTGCTATATGGAGCACCCAATCCAATAAGAGAGATACCAGAAGAAGAAAATAAGGAGAAAACTCATTAAGTGTTGATAGTTCAGGGTAGGAAGTAACTTCTTTCCTATCTCTGAAAATTGGAAAATATAAATATTTCATACAAACCAAAAGTACTTTTAGTAAGGGCAGTGGTGTTGACGTGTATTGTCACACAACAAGACAACACCCTTGATCAGCAGTCCTTTGTGTTTTGTCTGAATTTTCTCCAACAATACAAAAAGTCTTTGATAGATATCAATACCAGACCCACCCTCACACAAACAAAAAAATGAATCACTGTATGCTGTTCTTCTTTCATGCAAATCACCATGGGGGGGGGGGCATTTTTTATTTCACCGCAGTCACAAATACAGAGATGTAACACTTTCAAAACTACACAGCTTTGGGGAAACAGTGATGTCGTATGAACAGTGCTCATAAAACAGTGCAGTCAACAGAAGTTTTAATATAAAAACAGTGCTGATAATTTTTGAATCATATATATATGGAGGGGGCGCATTCTACTTGTATATAGATTTGGTCTACATTCATGGATTCAAACAACCAAAGCTAGAAAATATTGAGAACAAGGAAACCTTGATTTCTGCCTTACACCTTTTCCTTATTTTGATTTTTTTTATTTTACTGATTTTCAACCATCTGTACGTATATTTGCATGCATGCTTACCTATATATGAGGAAGTGAAGCAAATAGATAAAGATGAAAAGGAGAGATGAAATACATCTAACTTATCATGAGGTTTTAAAAGGCTTGGCATATCCCATAATATTCTGAATGTATTATGAACACAGTTTTGTGCAGGCTTTTTTAAAATGAGGGGCAAATAATTAATGGAGAAAACTTTAGCAAGGGGAGGAAGAAATGGAAGATACAGAATTGTTGAGGAAAAAGATTTGGCTTAAAGAGAGTTGAGACAGACAAGAAATGCACCAAATAAAAGTAATGTACTGGAGAAATGCTTATTTATGAGCATTTTTAAGAGAAACCTCTAATGGGCAAAATATCTCTGTTGGGATTTTCATTACATCTTTGGCTCAGATTTTGTGAGGATAATTCAGCACACTAATTGTATAACCACATCATTATTTTTAAAGATAAACCATGCAGTCAAGCTAATCCTGATTATGCTGCTAAAGTACACAAATTAGGAATGTTCCACAACTCCCCCCTCCCCCTGCCTCTCCCCAAGAGTAGCTGGAATTCTGCTGTATTCCATTACAGCAACATCAACCAAAAAGTCTTCTGGTGTCTAACTAACAAATGTAATAATTCCACAAAAGTTTATGCCATCATAATTTGTACCAGTTCAGAACTATCTAACACTGGAAATGTGCACCATCTGTAACTCAAATTGCACCACATGAAGACCACTAAGACCCAGAATGACTCAATCATGACCAATAAAATGTCTAGGTGAGGGTACCTTTGAAATATTCTATACTGGCAAAAGGGGTAATTTGTAAAAGAGCTGTATGCTTAAAAAGGGGGACTTTTGAATCAATTATTGAATGCTATGCCCTAAAAAGCTCTGTCCTCCCTCTCTCTTAAACATTTTAACTTGCTAAGAGAGTTAGGACATTCTAGCCTCCCCAGGAGAGAGTTGCAATATGGGAGCACTAACAGAGAAGACTCACTCCTTGGTTCCCATCAACAAGCCTGAAAAGATGGGAGGACAGAGAGGAGGACCCTCATGAATAGGTCAGGAGGAGATGTTGGGAGCTGCAGTAGAAAGATGAAATGACCCAACTGGGTGGAGACACCTTTCAAAAACCAACTGAACATTTGGTTTGTGCAAGGTGTCTCCATCCAATTGGGCCATGTCATCTTTCCATAGGAACTCTGCAGTCCATCTCATCCTATTTTGTAGGCCTCATGGTAACTTTTTGGGAGAGGTAATACAGCACAAAGGAAACGGAAATAGGAAGAAGCAATGAGTAAGTCTCTATCTACAGAGCAAGACAGATCCTTTTCCATTTCCTAGGAGCCAACTTCTCCTTTATGAAACAATCTGTATCTTCAGCATACATATTCTTAGCACACATCCTTAAAGCATGCTTTAATGGATATGCTTTATGGTGTTAGCTATAAAAATTCTGAATTATATTAAAACCAAGATCAGAAATACACATAAGAAAGGCTAAATATAAATTGAAACTACAGGCAGGGTTTTCTGTTCCAATAAGATTGTTCGGTTTGATTGATCACATGTTTTCTCTAGGCCTTAGTGACTTGTTGGAAGTGTATAAACTAAAAAGTAGACCATAAATGGGATTGGGTTTTACTTTGAGGTAAGAGATGCCAACTGGCTATTCAAAGCCAATAAGAAGCTGCTTTGACAGTGGCAGGAATATACTCTTACAGATTCCGGATAAGACTGTTTATGAGAATTTATGTAATTTGGCACAAATAGATACGTCATTAAAAAAAAAAGTAAAATTAGTAAATATACAAATCTGTCTATGCATTTTAAAAGTAAGTATCACAAAAAGAGAAAAATTGGCAAAAAGCTATTCACTAAACTTCTTTATAGCTACTGTTTCTTCCTGAACTATGCAGTGATCTATGTGATATTCATAACTGCAAATTTACAAGAACCTATGAAAAATGTTATTGCACTTTGGCCAGAATATTATAAGAAACATCTCTTTCACCTTATAGCCATTACTGACACCCATGGAAAACAGGCAAGGTCTCAGAGACCATAACAAATGTGGAACAGGTTTTTTAAAAGTGCTACATAGACCACCCAAGGTCAGCTTAGAAATATGTCAAAAATTCTTTAGAGTTTGCTACATTTTCAGAAAGTATGTCATGACACCAAAGCATGCTGCTCTTATGTAAAAACATTAATGAGTAAGCGCTCAGTGCAAGATCATAAAACAGAAAGTCTTAAAACAAAATTATTCATTTTGCAACTTCAAAATGAATAACTTCAAAATTTAGAAATACATTTTATAAATATACTGAAATAGCTGCTTCACGAAAAATCCTGGAACAAAAATAATTTAACTTTGTAAGTAATTTTGTTCATTCTCTCTAAATTTGTTCATTCTCTCTAAATTTAAAAGAAATCCTGCTTAAAATCCTACTTAATGTTGAATACACTACTTGAAAGAAATGGCACTGATTTTTCAAGCCTTGCTGTTTTAAAAAAATGTTAATGCAGAGTGGAATTTCAAAAGGATGATGTAGTAAGTAGTGTTGAAAATAATATGAAAAACGACATTTTTACCCTATTCAACTGTACAAACCAAACTGTACAATAAGTAAATATCAGTTTCAAACTGCTCAACACAGCTCTTCTGTAACACATATAACAGTTCTACAATGGACTTGTAGAATTGCAATGCAATTGTTAAGCTCATTGTGTGGAAGTAAGTCACACTGCACTAAATAGGGCCTAATTCTGAACAGACATATATATAGGATATCACCATTAAGTTAAAAACATTTTTATTAAGTACCCATTGAGTAGTATAGGTAAACATTTGACCCAATCCTGAGTTAAATAACAACAACAAAAAATAGGATTCTCTCTCTGCAAACTTTGTGGCAACGTATCTTGATCCAGACCTCATGTCAGAACACAACCTCTGCCATTCTAGGTTTTCTGTCAATTTGAAAGGTAAATGTTGCTCTTGCTTACAGACTAAGGACTAGATCAATACATCCTAAAAGCTATTCAGCATCAACAACATCTGATCCGGTTAATACATTAAGTCTTCTCTGCTTCATAACATCTGTTCTAAGGTTTCCAAGGGGCTCAACATGCATAGCTCCCACTGACCCAGACTAAATTTAGAGATCATATTTCTGGTTAGTTTTGAATCCTTTTCTCTGTTCCTGAGAAAAACTGGATTCCATAAGTAGTGACAGAGAGAAATATACAATATTAGGCATAATGTATAATATCAAGAAAACATTTAAATTGCGAAGGAAAAAACCCCACAACTGATAACATCTAATACTTATACAACTTCCAAAGTATACTGCCAACATTAACTAAATCATTCTGACAAGTTAACTTGTAAGGAATGTCATCTCAAATTTACAGATAAAGAAAATACACCTAAGGGATGAAATAATGTCAACTTATATTTATATTTTTGATACAAATTTTCACACTGTTATGTTTTCTATCACAGCACAGAAAGTTTTTTTAAGGCAGTGAATTTTAAATAAAGGTGATCTTGATTACTGTATCATAAAATAAAATAGCTGTGCTGAAAAAGTTGGCAAGGTTATTAAAACCTGTGGCTTGGATGGAAAATGTTAATACATTGTCAACAGTATTTAAATGCACATAAAATTCTCTAATCCTGCACATAAACTATACTGCTGTCTTCCTAAATTGCTTAATTGAATTAATTCACAGTTTCTCAATTCTTTTTATTTAATCTATATATATAAATTTCCTACTGGCGTCCAACGAGGAAACAAAACTCTAAAACCCCTCCACACAACTCTACCAAAATTGCCATGCCCCAAGGACAACCCACTAGGTACAAACTAATCCACTCAGAAATCAAAACCACACAACAACAACCACAAAAAACGGCAAAACAACTGAGCATGCGCACTGGCGCAAACTCCCTGGCGCGTGCGCACGGCCCCTCACCCCCCCCCCCCCCCCGGCACACACACACACGCGCGTGCCCCCTCTCCCCCCGGCGCGGCACACACGCGCGCGCCCCCCGCGGCACACACACGCGCGCCGCCTCCACCCCCCCCCGGCGCGGCACACACACGCGCACGTGCCCCCGCCCCCCCTCCCCCCTCCGGCGCGGCACACACACACATGCACACACGCGCGCACGTGCCCCTCACCCCCCCGGCGCGGCACACACACGCGCACGCGCACGCGCCCCCTCTCTCTCCTCCGGCGCGGCGCACACACGCGCACGTGCGTGCCCCCTCACACCCCCCCGGCGCGGCGCACACACGCGCACGCCCCTTCTCCCCCCTCCGGTGTGGCACACACACGCACACTGCGCACGCGCGCCCCTCGCCCCCCCGCGCGGCACACACGCGCACACGCGTGCCCCCATCCCCCCTCACCCCATCCCCCCTCCCCATCCCCCCTCCCCCTCCCTCTCCCTCCTCCTTTCCAAGTCACGCCCCTTCTAAACCCATCCCCCCTCCTCACCTTACCTCCAAGCACGCCCCCTTCTAATCTGTCAAGGAAGAATCATAGAATCATAGAATCAAAGAGTTGGAAGAGACCTCATGGGCCATCCAGTCCAACCCCATTCTGCCAAGAAGCAGGAATATTGCATTCAAATCACCCCTGACAGGAGAGAAAGAGGGAGGGAAAGAAAGAAGGAAGGAAGGAATGAGGTAGAAAAGGAAGAAAGGAGAGAAAGAGGGAGGGAAAGCAAGAAGGAAGGAATGAGGTAGAAAAGGAAGAAAGGAGAGAAAGAGGGAGGGAAAGAAAAAGGAGGAGGAAGGAAAGTTAGAGAAAGAAGGAAGGAGAGAAGGAAAGAAAAAAGGGAAAGAAGGAAGGAAAGAAGGAGCGAAGGAAGGGGGGAAGATGTAGAGAAAGAGGGAGGGAAGGAAAGATGGAAAGAGAGAAGGAAGAAAAGAGAGACTGCAGAAGAGAAAAAGGAAGAAGGAAGGAAAGAGGGAGCGAAGGAAGGGGATAAAATTTAGAGAAAGAGGGAGGGAAAGAAAGGAGGAAAGAGAGAAGGAAGAAAAGAGAGACAGCAGAAGAGAAAGAAAAAGGGGGAAGGAAGGAAAGCGATAGAGAAGGAAGGAAGGAGAGAAGGAAAGACAGGAAGGAAGGAAGGAAACAGGGAGTGAAGGAAGGAGGGAAAGAAGGGGAGATAGGGGGAAGGTTGGCCACAGCAACGCGTGGCGGGTACAGCTAGTTAGTTTATAAAATAAAATAAACCAAAATCATATGCCAAAACCAAATGAACTCAGTGGACTCTGATCAGTAATACAGACCTTGCATCTGGTAACTGTAGGGAGCCTGTCCTGGTTGGGGAGTGCTGAACCCGGCCCCATAGCTCAGAAAGCCTGTCTGTCCAGGCGACTGTGTTTGAGACAATCCACCTTCTGTCTTGATGCCTGCCCACAATGCACCTAAATCAGTTAGTGATAGCAGAGCTATTTGTTCATATTCAAACACTTACAGGATATTAAATAGATAACATAATTATCTATGCACTGAGTATGCAGAGGCACACCAATACACAATCCAATTGAAACATTGATTGTTTAATCGAAAATTTCATAATCATTCTATAAAAATCATATTTATATTTAGCATCATCTACATGTAGATCAAGCTGTCCATTAACCTTACAGTGAAATCATACCAATGCCTGTTCATGAGAAACTACAATCATGTCAAATGGGGGCTGAAAATGAAGTGTGCATGCGACTGCAGTTTTAAGCAATTCTAAACATATTGACCACAGCAGAGTTGGTGAGCTGAAGAAAGGGCCAATTTCTGTCCCCATAGCAGGCTGCACTACCTAACTTCATTTTCAAGCCATAAATCAGCTGAAATCAAAATTCTAAGTTCACTTAGTGGATTTTGATCTAGAGGATTGAAGATTAGGATTGTGAGTTGCAGTTAATTTACCGATACACAGAGGATATTTTTTGTTATTTGGGATGGGACTATTTGTATTAGAAAAAGTTGGAAGGCATGGGAAAAGGCTACAAAAATAGGTTAGAGCTGCATGCCCATGGGCTACAATCCTCCCCAATCCCATTGAACTCAACTTTCCAAGTAAACATATGTAGGACTTGGGTTTTTTTTTTCATTTACATAAATTGAGAATATTAGTTATTGCTGATAAATATATCTGGATATCATTACATACATTTTTACACAGAGCGAAATACAACTGTGAATCCGAATTACAACTTCATCCCATGCTTGCCTGAGAACATCTTCTCTCCGTTTCCTTGCGCTGCTGCCACAGAGTCCCACAAAGGTCATCACATGACACAAGGACACTTTTGGTGGGACACTTTGGCCGCAGGGAAATGGAGGGAAGACTCTGTTTTCAAAAGTCTACCCAAACCCCAACTGCAGAAATTGCAGAGAAGGGTGGGAAAGGCATGGAAAGGACATGGGATGGCTAGCCCTTCATGGGATGAGGCCCTAAGAGTATATCCATTGAAAGTTAATTATATACATTCCACTGTTGGAACTTCAGTCTGCATTAGCTGGGACTAATATTGGATTTACTCCATAAAATATTTGATTATTTCATAAATTAGGAAGTTTTGGTATTGATACACCCATTCAAAAATGGTATTTATATTTTGATGTACCTTCTTCAAATTGCAGTTTTATTTTATGCATAATTCTTAATAAAAAGCATAATTTAAAAATGATATTGATATATCAATTCAATTAACAAACTTATGCCATACAAATTTTATCCTATATGTTCATTTAGATATTTTAGTCAAAAATCAACCCAAAACACTTGAATTATCCATGAGTCAATAATATGAGTACCTTAACTCTTATTTTAAAAAGAACCCTGCTCTTCTCTGGGTAGAGTGACAAAAGGCAAGAGCTTAGTTGGTTCTGGGGGAACCTAAAAGAAGCATCAACCCCATCTACTATCCCTACTATTGCCTTTCTAGATTTCTGTGGGGAAAATGGTGGCATTGAGCATGGTGACATTTATGATTTCCCCGCTCTGAATAACCCCTGACATATCCATGGGTGATATTGAAACCCATAATTATGTTCCCAAATCTGTTGACTTAAACATGAGATCAACGTATACATAAGCATATACAGTAGGTATTACCTAATTTCCAGTTTTTTCAAATGTGGATCAACTCTACTTTGCTAACCAAAAACAGTGTATATGTAATATGATCAAGTACAAATTTAAAGAAGAAACACTTCTAAGAACTAAGAAGTCCAGATATAAAACCAAAGACCAATGTCAAATTATCTTCTATTGTTTTTTAGATGTCAGGTTGTTGTTGTTGTTGTTGTTGTTGTTAATTCATTCAGTCATTTCCGACTCTTCGTGACCTCATGGATCAGCCTACGCCAGAGCTCTCTGTTGGCTGTCACCACCCTCAGCTCCTTCAAGGTTAATCCAGTCACTTCAAGGATGCCATCTATCCATCTTGCCCTTGGTCAGCCCCTCTTCCTTTTCCCTTCCATTTTCCCCAGCATAATTGTCTTCTCTAAGCTTTCCTTTCTTCTCATGATGTGGCCAGAGTACTTCATCTTTACCTCTACTATCCTTCCCTCCAATGAGCAGTCGGGCTATATGGACTCGTTGGATCTTCTGGTGATCCAAGGCACTCTCAGTACTTTCCTCCAACACCACAGTTCAAAAGCATCTATCTTCCTTCACTCAGTCTTCCTTATGGTCCAGCTCTCACATCCATAGGTGACTATGAGGAATACCATTGCTTTAACTATGCGGACCTACATTGCCAGTGTGATGTCTCTACTTCTTCACTATTTTATTGAGATTGGTCATTGCTCTCCTCCCAAGAAGTAAGCATCTCCTGATTTCCTGGCTGCAGTCTGCGTCTGCAGTAATCTTTGCACCTAGAAATGCAAAGTCTGCCACTGCCTCCACGTTTTGTCCCTCAATTTCCCAGTTGTCAATCATTCTTGTTGTCATAAAGGATGTCTGGTTCTAATTCAATCACCACACCGTCAAAACTATCCTTGATATTATTATCCTCCCTATACAGATTTTCTGTATAGTCTCGCCACCTTCTCTTGATCTCTTCAGCTTCTGTTAGGGCGCTCTTGAGGTGCTCCTGGGGGAAAATAGACCTTGACATGTGCGAGTTGTTGTTACTGGGATGTATAGTTCACCTACAATCAAAGAGCATTCTGAACTCCACCAATGATGGTATTGAACCAAATATGGCACACAGAGCTCCCACGACGAACAAAAAATATATATCCGTGATTGGTTGGGGGGGGGGCAAAATACTGTTTGCTTACCATTGAAAATTGCCTAGGGCCGCCTCTGGTTAGGTCCCTGCCATCTTTGTTTCTTATCATGCCAATTTTTGCCTGAAATTTACCTCCAATGTTTCTAATTTTCTGGAAGAGGTCTCTTGTCCCTCCTATTCTGTTGTCTTCTTCCACTTCCATGCATTGCTTGTTTAAAAATAGTTCCTTATCTCTTTCAAAATATGTTGCATAATATAAATGCTAAGATGTGATTTATTGATAAAGGAATGCTTTAAAAATGTAATACTGCAAAAAAGCAAATTTAATTCCATTACATAACTATCTCTTACCATCTCTCCAGAAAATTAACTCACCATATGATGAGATTCCATAGGGCTGCCCAGGCTGTGGGTAGGTTGAATAAGCAGTGGCTTGTTGCATCCCTGTAGTAAACTGTGTCTGCCCATATGCAGCCATGGTTTGTGAAGAAGGGGTAGGAAGAATATGTGGGTATGATCTACTATTTGTTGTGAAATGAAAAAACAAAAGACAAGGAAGTCTTCACATTAGATACAAATATGCAAACTACATGGCAAATTCTAAATTTCTTGGCTACTGTGCCAAAGTAATTAGTTAATTGTTTTTTTTATGTCTGAAGAAAAACTAATTTCTTCAATAAATTTCTTCTCAGTAAACTAATTTCAATTAAAATTTAAAATATGGATCCAATTATAGTTCAAATGAGATTTAACTATTATTTCCTTTTAAAAAATACTGGCGTCTTACTTGGATGGGTATATCTGTGGCGGGGAAAATGGATGAGTTTGTCTTGGGCTAAAGCTACTGCTTCCAATTGCTATAAAGAGGAAAAAAAGAAAGGACATGGAAATATGAACACACATACATAGCACACTCAACATAAACATCATACATTACATATTTCTAAAAATGTAATTAAATTAAAACTGTGCCAAGTAACATTTTACTAGATCAAAGGCAGCACATTAATTTCAGTAGTTATATTACAAATTAGATTTCTCTAATTACTCCTAAGGGGTAATTCACAAAATAAGCCAAATGTTAAGTCATTGAAACATCCCCATCATACTCAATTTAATTAATGTCCACATCTTCTTTTGCCACAGATTTGCCCTCCCCGCTATGCTATTGATGGTCTTAAATATAATTTTTTAATGTAAAGACATCATTTCACATTTCATAATTTTCTAACTTGTGAATGTGAGTCAATGGTTCTTCTTCAAGTGTCTTATGTATCTATCATGAGATGCATCTACACAGCAGAATTAATGCAGTTTGTCACAACTTTAACTGCCATGGCTCAATGTTATAAAAGCTGGGAACTGGAGTTCTCATTGCAGCAGGGCCCAAAAATAAAAATTTATACCAAGCTAGAATGTAAGATTTTTTATGTAATTTTATTAAGAGTAATGTTTATTAATAGTTTTCAAAGTATAATAAAAATACAAACATTGAGAAAAGAAAAAAAAGAAAGAAAGAAAGAAAGAGTTTAAGAATCATATATTCCAAGAATGCATATATAGACTCAGAATTTAGGATCGTATTTCAGGAAAGAATTGTAGAATGTACAGAAAGTGTATATGTTTAAATACAGTAATTATAATTCTAAGCTGTTCTACTTTTCATAAACATTTAATATTTTTCAGTCTGTTTATTTTTTTTTAATTCTAACTTGTTTATACGAATGTAACTTGAGATCTTCCTGAGATCCCATGATATAAGGTGGGATATAAATATCCTACTAAAATAAACTAAATTTACATAATTGGTTTGTGTTAAAAGTGAAATAACTGAATTTTAAAGAGACTCTTAATTTTTGGGGGAAGGGTGTTTGTTTCCTGTTCCAAGAAGAAATGACAAAAATTTGTAGCACCCCAAACACAAATAAACAATTTCACATTTGGCCTGGGTTTAGTGGGAAACATCTGATTTTATCAGATGTGAAATGTTCTTTTAGTTGACATTTTATCATATACATGTGGAGGTGGCTGAGGTATTGTACTTAGCAAGTGACAAAGAATGTCAAGAACAGGAACATCAGAAGAAAATCCAAGAAAACATAACATGGTTTTCAACTGGGTATTCAATGAAGACATAGTGAAAATGCTTGGATATCTTCCTTACCTGATCCTGAGAAACTGTCTAAAGACCCGTCTGCTGTTGTAGTAGCAATTTCACTGCTGCTCATTGGCTCTGTTTTAACTAAAAATATAAATAAAATATGTTCTGTATATACTAATATATGTGAAGAAACACTCGTGTGTACTTGCACAACACACAGGTAGATACTACCTGTTCAAATAATATGTGAAGGCAACACTTCACAAACAGCAAACAAACTTGCTTTGGACAAATTATCAACATATTTCAGCAAATACACAATGGATGCATCTATCCAAAATGAATGAAAGGCATAATAAAAGCTTTGTATCAATAGTTAAATATTAGTCAACCACATCTATAGCAATGGCCCTTAACTTTTGAGGGAATCCCTTCCTGATTCTGAGAAGCTATATGCCACTTCCCCCCCCCCAAAAAAAATGAATTTAAACACAGCTTTCAACTAAACAGGAGTGAAAGTGAACTGGGAGCAGGCTTTTTTGGTATCCATTTCACAGATGCCTTGAAGATACTGTTAACTCTGGCTAATGGCAATGAACTAAACCAATTCTACAATTTTGCACACTTTTCCCATCTTGTCTAACCTTTTCTGTTTGACCTACAAAATATCGGGGATGTTATAAATACTGTAACTTAGAAGTAGGAATTATGGGTCTGTCAGGATGCTATTAAACTACTGTTCCCATCTGTTTTAAGCAACATAGCTAATAATGAAGAATGCTGGGAGGTGCAATATAAAATGAGCATAAAACCAACCTGATTCCAATTCCTGTAACTAGAGATCACTTGCATGACAGCATATTTGTCACATACATGTATGTGATATTAATCTCACTTATTCTCCATCTTTTGAGCTATTCATTTTGGATGCATCTTTAACTTTATAGTTTTTGTACATTCTTGCTGATATAGCTTAATGTCTTAAGCAGATCAATTTGATCACTGATCCATCTACTTCCGCAAGCACTTCTTAGCAACACCTCTCTGCGGGTTCATATAAAAGACTTTCACAGCTTGACCTTGAGACACTAAGAAATAATCCTGACATTTCTGCACACAAACAGGTGCTCTACCACAAAACTCCCAAGTGTTGTTTGTTTGTGTGATTTAAAACTGGGGAACATGGATCTTTGATTAAGAAATTAACGCTCAAATATGTGCTGCCTTTAAAATAGTTGCAGTGCAATGCTGGAAAAAAGTGCAAATACTTAACTTAAAGGCATCAATGGCCATGATCACAGCAGGAGAGCAACCTCCATTACTTAGTGATAGAAGGCTCCCCTCCCCCTGATTACAGACCACCAAGGCTTTAATGTTTCTAACAGCTTGTAAAATGAATAGCTTAAAGATCCCATTCTCACACATTTGCTACTCAGAATCAAAGATGATTTTCCAAGGTTCTTATCCACATACTAGTTCCAAATAAGAAGTGGTGAAAGTAACTTGGAAACTTGAATATAGAATGTCCCAGAAAAGCTTACTTGATGCATATGATGTGCTGCTTTAAGCACCACATTAGGAGTGCTTATTTCATCTGATTATAAATCTTAAATAAGGTATGAAGTTGAACCCCATATCTGGGATTTCATTCACCCATGTCTGAAAAACATGTCCTCTCTATGTATTTTCTAGATCCTTCAGCACAACACTATGATATGCTTGGGCCAGAAATCCTTCGGTTCAATGGGGCTCACTATTATCCATGCAAAGTCTAGGAATGTATTCCATGTAGATACAAGAGTTATACAATAATAGAATACACACACACACACACACACACACACACACACACGTCTCTGTGCTGTCGGCTTTATTCTGGACTTATTCCCTGGGTGAATTTATCCTGATTTTAAAAACTTTCTATGATATGCACATTTCTTAGAACATCTTGGTTATTTTGCATCATAAAAGTATAAGTAAAAAAATTAAAAAATAAAGATTTAAATGGTTAGTAAACCTCAAAATGGTGGATAAACCTCAAAACTAAATCTTGAATAACAAACATTCATACACCAGTAAAAGGTGATCCCCTGAAGATGGATTCCTAAAATTTGAAAGAGCAAGCAGGGTTTGACTGGGAAGGGTAGAGTTCAGACTTGAAATTATTTGGATATAAACAAACAAAAAAAAATGTTCTGGACCACTTTGCCTAAACTTGATGCTCTTCAGGGTTTTTTTTTTTTACCACAACCATGAACACAAAAGGTTGATCAAGGGATCAGAAATTTATAGACATTACATTAAAAAGACACACACACACATATTAGTTCACAGCAATTGCCCCACGAAATAAAAAAAAACATAATCTGAAAGCCATCTAGAAATCCCTTTCTATTATCTCAATATTATGTTATTTAGCATATCATTAGCTAATACTCATCCTCAATCAATAAATATTTCTTAATTTATATTTCCTAATTTATAGAAAATATTTGGTCCACAATGCCCCAGATAGTATATTTTAACTGAAAAAAATGTATTTTTCAACCAAAAGAATCTCAAGAGAGGGAGTCCCCCCCCCCCCAAAGACATTTTAGGATGACTATCCTGAAACATCCAAAAATGACTATAAAAATACTGCTAATGCAACTGCAAGTGCCCACTCAGAATATCAATTCCATTCACTACTATACATTATGCTGCAGCCCACTAAGTTCCAAAAGAGCCAAAACTGATTTGCTACCTCCTAATTGTGCCCAAACCTATATGAATGCAGCCAAGTATATCTCTCACAACACTCCAGGGCACTGCTTCTTAAACTGTGGGCCCTGACCCCAAATGGAATTCCCTTAGTACAAAGTTGAGGTCATGAAAAACTTGGCAACAGTAAAAGGTTTCTGAATGCCACCCATTTACAGAACTCTGTTGTCAATAATGTGCAGTGTTTACAATGGACTCTTCCGAATTTGCTTCAATTGTAATTCTTCATAAGTCAGCCTTGCAAATACTGATTTATTATCAGTAAATGTTTAATTTTTATACCTATTTTATATACCTACACACACACGTAAAACTTTCTCAAACCAAATGGAGTCCAGAGTGGAAAGATGTAAGAAGCCCTGTTCTAGACAGGGTTAACTGTCTACATTAATGTTTGCAAGTTTTGACTTTAGAACTCCTTCAAATAAGGCCACACAGCATAATACTTTTATGACTAACATCTGCAAACACTGAAGTTTTCCTAATCCTCCAATGGGGGAAATTCCCCACTAGATAGCAACAACCATAATATAAAGGAACCACCTTCTAGTTATTTAACACATATACCATAACACAGATTTATCAATAAGGAGGACTTGCTTCATACATCAGTATGCATTTACAACATTACTTGACCTATTCCTTTCATGTCACATGTTCATATTTTTACTTTTGAATTAAATATTTGCTGAAACATGTCAAACTGCTCTTTTTATTTGTAGCATAGGAACCTATAATATTCTTTCCATGTTATTTCGGACTCTGATACCATTTTTTTTGTTAAAGAAGTCATGCTTTCAGAACACATCTATGTTGTTAACTGAGATATATATGTAATATAAGTCCATGATCCACACCAAAGTCAGCACACATGCAAAACAGGAAAGTTGTAAAATACCTTTTTCCAGAAATCACATACATGTTGTATTTAAAGAGACAGCTCCACTGGACAGTAATGGCAAGGGCTCTAACTGCTAATTGGAGCAGTTCAAATTTCAGGACAGTGACTTGGGATGGAAGGATGAAGTGTTCTCTTTCAACTTGTGTTGGCCACAAACCAGTTCAGGCCCATACATCCTTACTTAAGATAAATCCAAGATATTGTTCTCTGAATATAGCAATAAATATTAATGATATGAAGCTACAGAATGAACTAATATCTAAGGGAAAACTGTTCCATAATAAAGTACTCTAATTTCCTAAAAAAATAATTCATATGGATATCCGTCATATACTCATACCACAATTAATCGGAAAATGCACAGTTAAAGCTACATTATCTGCTTTCTCAAACAGCATAACAAGATTGCCCATATTTACACGAGTCTGATGCACCATCAAATCTAATACGCACCTCAATTTTCAAAACCCTGAAACCAAAAAATGTATTTGCTGGAAAGTGTTATGCACAGCAGCAAAAGATGCACTGGGCTCTACAGGCCAATGGATATTCCACCTCAGACATCAGAAGAGCTGCAAGACCAAGAACAAGCCACGAGAGTCAAGATGAAGATCCACCCAGAGGAAAAGTGTTCCTGCCATACATCAAGGGAACCACTGACCACATAGGGAAGCTGATGAGGAAACACAACATACAAACAATCTACAAACCCACCAAGAAAATCCAACAAATGCTACGTTCAGCAAAGGACAAGAGGGATCCTCTCACCTCTGCAGGAGTCTACCGTATACCATGCAGCTGTGGACAAGTCTACATAGGGACCACCAAACGCAGCACTCAAACAAGAATCCAGGAACATGAAGGGCACTGCAGACTACTCCAACCAGAGAAATCAGCCATAGCAGAGCACCTGATGAACCAACCTGGACACAGCATATTATTTGAGAACACAGAAATGCTGGACCACTCTCACAACCACCATGTCAGACTACACAGAGAAGCCATTGAAATCCACAAGCATGTGGACAATTTCAACAGAAAGGAAGAAACCATGAAAATGAAAAAAATCTGGCTACCAGTATTAAAAAATTCAAAAATTGCAACAGCAAAAACAGCAGAGAGAAAAACAGGCAGGGACATCTAATCACCTTTCAAGAAGAGTTTGCTCCAGGCACAGTCAGCCCATTGTATGCTAATCAAGGGGTTCAGTTGAAAGATTCACACCTAGCCCAACTCACAAAAGCCCTTTGTCTCACCCTGGTCATTCCACAGATATATAAACCCCTTTTTTCCCCAGCTCCAGCAGACCTCACCTCTGAGGATGCTTGCCATAGATGCAGGTGAAACGTCAGGAGAAATGCCTCTAGAACATGGCCATATAGCCCGAAAAAACCCACAAGATCTGAAAAGATGCACTCTTTGTAATATGTTCATTACAATTGCTGCCTGCTTAGAATTGCGTTAGAATTTTGTGTTGGAA